TTTACTAGTCTTATATGCACAATAATATATTTACAATCACTTTATTGCACAGAATAAATAGGCAATGAAGGACACAGTAAAGAACCAAGACATGAGCCAGGACGTGGCACCACGCAGGTTAAAAAAACATATAAAAAAACATTTACAAAGACATAAGAGAAATATGAACATTTTTTGTTTTTTAAATTATCACTTATAAATCACAATTATTTAAATCCATAAGATAAGATAAGATAACTTTATTGTTCCACAAGGGAAATTACAATAAAAACTTTCATTTAAAATATCATTTCAGTTAAACCATTAGAGTCATTAATTTTAAAAGCCAGAAACAAAAGGTGAAGAAATGTTTAGGAAATTAGAGGCAAGGGATAATTAGAAGGAATTAGACTTGTTGCAGAAAAAGGTATGATAGATTTATCGAATTTGGATTATTTTTGGCATGATAGATACTGAATGAGGAGATGATTGAGAATTTGGAAACCTTGTCTCTGAATTCTGAAAAACAGATTGGTTTATTGCACAATTTATGTATATTCTTTAGTTGTTTAATATTATCCTCAGAGGTAAAACCCCTGGACCCAATTTCAAAAGCGATCAGTTTCGCATTGAATCCGGAGTCGCACATGTCTTGTATTAAAGGATTGTATTTGTTGGATTTTCTTGTATGAGCGGATTGTATGTTAGGTTCAAAAGGGACAGAGCGTTCTATGATAATGATCTTTTTAAAGTGTTTCTATATAACAATGTCCGGGATGTTGCAGTGCATTCGATTGGAATTGTGGATATGAGCGTGGTAAAATGTGGTGCGGCTTCAGATTCGAGTTAAGAGTAAATCGGATTTTAAGCAAATATCCAAGAACATTGCTGTGCATCCACGTGAAGCGCCCCTGCTCAAGGGACTTGGAGCAGTAGCTAAGAACGTGATGAACAGTTTCCCTACTTCCACAATTTCGACATTTATCAAATGTGAATTTACCCCATCTGACTAGGTTTACTCTTGACAAGGAATTGTAATACTCCAACTGGCAAATTGTGGGATTTTTTAGCAATGGTTTGAATGTGTTTGTACGAACATTCAGGAGAGTTAGCGGCATTATACATACAGTACTTTCTCATTCAATTGCAATAGACTTTTTTCTCGTCCAGTTAGATTCACGTTCCACCCTACTGTCAATAAGGCGTTAACAATGAGACCACCTTTCAACCGGGACGAAATATGGGCTGAAAGATGGGCTTCTTGTATAGGCGTTAAAACATATCAGGTCGAGGACTTTTGGCATGAAAGCGAAGGCAAGGGTCCAAGGATGGGCGATTTCCAGCCAACGCTTAACATATTTATTGTCGAGAGCATCCAGCCTGTCGAAATGGGAAGCACACACGTTATTGACAGTAAGGTGGAACCTTATGCTGTGCATAAAGTAAGAATCAAAAATGCGTAACTTAAATTCCGATCGAATTTGAGAAGAATCGATTTTCTTAAGACCATTTAAAATTAAATTGAAAAGGTATCGAAAGCATCTTTTTCTTTGTTTTTGAAAGTAATAAGGGAATTAAGGAACTTATGAGACTCGTCTTCAACAGAAGGGATTACATCAGGACCCAATTTAAATGGTATGTTCAGGGCTCTCCCACGGCTAATAGAGAGGGATCTACATTTGCTTGATTTAAGGTTAAGGCCTAGCGAAAGGGTATGGGATCTGAGTTTCGAGATAATTCGTTGGTGGGTACACTTATTGGAGGTAATTAGAGAAAAATCGTCTGCAAATGGAGTGGTAATAATTTTAGTATCTTTTACCGAGTATCAGTGAGAGAGCTCTGACTTGAGGTATTGGATAATTGGATCAAAGCAAAGCAAAAATATAACGGGTGATAAGGGGGTCACATTGGAAAATCCCTTTCCTGAAATGAAAAGAGTCTGACGTCCAGTTCTTAATTCGAATACTACCTGTAATATTTGAGTAAAGATTTTTTTTATATATTTATATAAACGAACAGCAGAAGCTATATTGCATCTAGAGAGTGAGTAATGAATAAGTTCATGAAGAACGGATCCGAATGCATCCTCAAGATCGAACCAGGTAATATGTAGGTCCTTGAGTTAGATTTAGCATAACGAATAGTTTCGTAAAGCACTCGGTTATGGTCCACGCAACCGTTTATCCCACGGAGAAAAGTTTTTTAAAGAAGAGGGGTTGACCTGGTTGTTTTTCTTAATGGATTCTTCAATTCCTATAGATAGCATTTGATGAAAAACCTCACCGATGCACAAAGAGAGAGCAATCATCCTAAAGTTTTCTGTTTGTTCGCCTTTCTTGTATATCAGAGTGATATAACAATTTATCCATGATGATGGGGGATGGCCTTGTTCCAGAATTTTGTTGAATATAGTGGCCATAAATCTATGGGTACACGGAAGCTTTTTGAGAAGTCCATAATTATGTGATTTGGTCAGGTCCGGGTGTTGAATTATTGCTCTTTCTACTGAGAATGTTTTTAATATCTTTGGGTTTAATATAAGTCATATTAAACGGGCACATATATTCGACAAGTCTCATCTTGTCGGGAATCCAATTAAGCTGTGAACGGTCGATTGACTTGGGAGTCGAGTATTTGTCTTGATAAAATAAGTCCGCTACGGGCTTTTAAAATAGATGCGGAGAAGCACAGGTATATAGAGTATCGTTTAATAGATTCTTGCTGTAGTTCCAATACCGGTAGTTTGCTTTATAGCGTTTCTCCTCAACTTTTTTAGATCTGATTTTATCTTCAGAATCTTTTTCTTTTTTTTTAGAAAATCATAGGCCCTGAGGGCTTCTAAGAATTCTGCACGTTGATGTTTTGTAGTGTCCTTTGTGAATGCTCGTTTTCTAAGTTTATTTTTGACAGTTCTTGATTCTCTTCGGTGAAACTCTTTTTTTTTTAATATAGTTTTTCTCAATGAATTCAGGGTTTTCTTTGAAATTTTCATTGAGAATGACACTGAAACCGTCGCCAACTTCCTGGACTGGAATTTCGCCATTGACAAGGGCGAAATGTAGGGGTTGGAGTCTATAGTTGAGAGAGTTATTACGGTTAGTCCAAATTTGTATGTGGAGTTCAGGTACAATAAAACGTATAACAAATATAAGACTGCAGGCTGCCTGAATGACTGGTGTAATGAAGTGTCCTTTATTAGTCTTATATGCACGATAATGAATGTAATTTAATTTTAATTCCATATTTAATTATCTTGATGATGATACGTCAACATTAGTATTCACAATTTATCCTTGAACTTCCCGACTTCTAAGTTGATATGGCAAATAGAGGTCAATTTGAGATTGGGGGCACATGTGTGTCTTTTCCGGCTCCATTTATAAACGGAACTCAACAATTAATGTCCAATCATATTGTGAAATTTTAATACGCTAACTTATCCTACTTGAATTGCACTGCCTTCATTGATAGTGTTGCGATGTTTCATATTTTAGGACAAATATTTAGCTAATACAACTTCAATATGGATGGACAGTGGCCACCCCCACTCTCAACCATTGTGCTAATTTCCGGTGCCACTATTAAACCAAACTCAAAGACGGTTGCCCATTTTTTAAATATTTACAAACTTTTTTTCTTTCTTTCACAATATAACATATTTTTTGAAAATTTATTTTTTAATTTAACAACCTACTTCACCTCCAAGTCACTTTCCTTATAAGCTTATAAAGCTACTTCCCATAATTTTATAATGATAATCTAAACTAATTTACGTTCTAAATTAATTGATCACCTAAAGATTGACCATTTCCTGCCTCACTACATGGTTGTAGGATTTGGTATTGCCACAGAAAACTATAAATTGGCATACTTTTATAAAACATTAACAACTGGTTCACATAGTGTAGACCTATAATATTTAAAGTAAAACATCAACTTACAATTAAATAAGTTGCAAAAATATACAGTAATGTTAACATAATAGAAAATTAATTAGCAAACAAAGGTAACATCACCAACAAGCAAATCACATTTGTACCTAATTTTAGTATCTCATTCTCTATGTCACTTAAGCCTCCAAACCTCCCAAACATGGAAGGTTCAGAAGCTCTGCCCTGTGCCTCACTGTGGCTTTCGGAGTTTCCACGTTTCTCTAACCTACTATTGAAAACTTTCTATGTTATGAGTAATACTACTTTTTTACCAGTTAGTTTATTATATAGAACTATAACACGAATCATTAATAATTATAACCGATTTCACGAACTGAAAGTTAATTACCGGATTACAATCCAAGGTTAAAATGAATAATTGTTATCTAATCTGATTTAAGTTCTGCAACATAACAGAAAAATGTGCGCCCTCTATGACCTACTACCGATTTTTATAAAGGGAAATTTTATCCAAAATAGTATCAGTTTGGTTGCAACAGTGGCACTGGACCTGCTCAAGCCTCTGTTCATTATGAGGATCCTATTTTTTGGCATTGTTGTGAGTTTATGCGCAACAGCCTCTTACCAACTCTCACTGGAGGTGAGTTTTAAAAATGTTTTCCATATTTCTCAACTAAACATAAAGGGGCTATTTTGAAGGACACTTTAAAATTTAAAGATTTTATTCTTATGAATTATGAAGATGATTATTCAATTAGTCAATAATAATATTTCAGGTTGTTTATATAAAATCATATCGTTTCGTATTGCTTAACATTAGTTCGAAGTTCTTGTTAAAAATTGCACTATTATAAATGAATGAATTAATACATCAATTAGGAAGCTCTGCCCTGTGCCTCACTGTGGCTTTCGGAGTTTCCACGTTTCTCTAACCTACTATTGAAAACTTTCTATATTATGAGTAATACTACCTTTTTACCAGTTAGTTTATTATATAGAACTATAACACGAATCATTAATAATTATAACCGATTTCACGAACTGAAAGTTAATTACCGGATTACAATCCAAGGTTAAAATGAATAATTGTTATCTAATCTGATTTAAGTTCTGCAACATAACAGAAAAATGTGCGCCCTCTATGACCTACTACCGATTTTTATAAAGGGAAATTTTATCCAAAATAGTATCAGTTTGGTTGCAACAGTGGCACTGGACCTGCTCAAGCCTCTGTTCATTATGAGGATCCTATTTTTTGGCATTGTTGTGAGTTTATGCGCAACAGCCTCTTACCAACTCTCACTGGAGGTGAGTTTTAAAAATGTTTTCCATATTTCTCAACTAAACATAAAGGGGCTATTTTGAAGGACACTTTAAAATTTAAAGATTTTATTCTTATGAATTATGAAGATGATTATTCAATTAGTCAATAATAATATTTCAGGTTGTTTATATAAAATCATATCGTTTCGTATTGCTTAACATTAGTTCGAAGTTCTTGTTAAAAATTGCACTATTATAAATGAATGAATTAATACATCAATTAGGAAAAACATTTTATAATATACAAGTTTCAAATATTTCATTATACAGTTTGTCTATATCTATCAAATGTTTACCTTAATACAGGCCAAAATGATTATATTAAGGCATGTAATTGGATAAAAGAAAGGGACAAAAATACAAATATAGATAAAAAATTAGAACTACGTATTATTAGAACTACGTATTAATAATATATATATATATATATTATATATATATATATATATATATATATATATTTGTAACCTTAACTAATAGTTAATTTACTTTCAGTATGAACATGTCAATATAAAAATGTAATTAGAATTAATTTACAATTACAAATTTTCTTGTAGACAAATAACATTATTTTAATATCTTAAACCAATTGATCAATCTAAAAATAAAAATAGTACTACTGTACATGCATAAAAAATGTATTTTATTTTGAAATTGTCAGTGAAATGTAGACATATTATTTACAATTTAGTTTAAAATAAATTGCAAAAGGAAATAAGCATTATTTTAAGTAAACGTTATTATCAATATAAAAAAAATCATTCATATTTAAGTAAAAGGAAAGAAAAGGAAATTTTATTATTATTATAGAAATGAAAACGGTAGAAATTGCACTGTCACATTATTAAAAATTTATTTATTTATACCCAACAATAGAATATATATGTTTGTTCAGACATCTTGTCAGAAAGGGGTTTGTGCTGTTATACATTCTACAGTTCTACATTGGTTTTGTTTAAACAGTCTTGTATTTCGAAGTTAAATGTTATGGTCGCTTTCATTTTACATGAAAGGTTCTCAGTACTTAGTTGACTTCAGGCGTGCATTGGCAAAATCCAAAGCAGAGGTCTTCTTTTCAAATCTCAATGGATTTTATTCCAAGAATTATTCATCGCTTTAGAGTAGTCAGAATAATGTTACCAATAATATTTAAAAATTCGGTCACTACCAGACTTCCAAGTTTATTCAGCTTGCCAAGATCTCTAAAGAAAACCTCTAAGAGTTCAGTACCTTGTCGAAGAACCGGCCATTTTGCCATACAAATAGCGACAAAAACTGCCAATAACCCATTCAGTCAAATAACCTGCCAACACTTTTGCAAGTTCAGATATTGACGTAATTGCAGGTGTAGTTTAAGGTACTAGAATAACAGTTGCGTCTTTCCATAATTGAAGTATCTGCCTTCTTTCAACGAGTAGTTAAATATATCAGTGATAGTTACGCTGAATTCACGATCTCATTAGGTATGTCGCCTGGGCCAGTGGCTTTACTGCTTTGCACTTTATATAGCTTACTATACATTTCCCAGATTTCAATTCTGTGCGGTTCTTTAACCGGCCTATACATTGGTAATTTTGCTATGATCTAAGGGTGGTTGGGTTTGTGTGGTTGTCATTCGCATTTCAATTTGGTAGATGAGGGTCCAATATGGAGATGTTGCTACCTGTCGAAAAAGATAACGAATACAAATATCATTATCGCCATTTTTTACCTAAACATTCTTGACAATATGTGTGAGCTGAATCTGATCCTTGATTCATGGCATATATCGCTTACGTTGTGACAGATTTGTTACTGAGGAAAAGTTGTCTAAAAAAATTAATAACGTAATCGTTATCGCTTTCATAAGCTTGCGAAAAATCCCTAATATTTCTTGTGGCGTACGGTTATATTTCCTCTTAGTAACTGTATCCTTTGCGCCTCTTAGAAAGCCCAGTTGTGCGAAGGTCACGAAGCGAATTGTCATTGAAGTTCTGTTCTGCTTGAGATATTTGTTCCTGTACAAGGTTGTGTAAATGGTTCATTCGACAGTAAGCTCTTTAGCAACTGCGTGTTGGCGTTCAGTGACTGTCATTTTACCAAGAGTCATCCACGGTTAGTAATGAATATGTAGCTTTTGATGGAAAATATATATTCATTACTGGTTTAAATAGCTGGTAGAAAGCGCCGCACTTTGACTTAGTATTAGAGGCAATTACTACTGGATCTCAAGATGCTAATGTTGTAACTATTTTCCAGATATATGATTGTTTTGAAAAAGCATGTCGAACCGGTCTTTTCATTGCAGCACTTACATATTTGCGATTTTGACCTAGGTAACCACATGAAACTGTTGTGGTCGATACTAACTATTGGAGATACAATAATAGGTTTGTTTGTAAAAAACACTTATTAGGTATGATCAGCTGAGAAATAAAATTTGATGTAGTGGATTAGTCAACAACTTGTTTCAAACCATGAGCTCTATCAATTGTGTCCAACTCTGTGCTTTTAAAATCACCTAATATCATGAATCTAGAATCTAGTTAATTAGTCTTAAGCATATCGATGCCTCGTGTAATATGATTAATTGTTAGGGAGAGGGAGGTATATAGACACCAGAAATTATTATATTGGATACTAATCTAGATAATCCTTCAGGGCGACCGTCACTTATACACAAGCTCATCAGTTGAAAGTAGGCCTAGGCCTATATCTGGTTAAATACACGTTTTTGGCGAAAGTCGGTTAATTATATTATACCCATTGAATATTATCTGATCATCATGAATGTCAGGGCTGTATCATGTTTCTGTAATTACACACGCATCAATATCATTACCTTCAAGTAAACAGCCTAGCTCATCCAAATGATGAAATACTGATCTGCAATTCGTCAGAAAAAATTTGGACACACTTGTTTTATCTCAATGTGCTTAAGATTACTAGTAATAATATTAATCAATATTGAGTATGACTATTATTTCTGTCCGGTTTTGTGCTCTCGAAAAATGTTGTTTTACTTTTTAAAAGTGTTATCTTTTAAAAACGTTGTTGTCGATTTTCAATAACTACCTTGATTTTACGTGTTTTCATTATTCCACCTCGATTTTCTCTCACTTCCTTTAAAGACCAAGATCATTTAGTGGTTTTAAACTTTGATGAGCGAAAAAAAAACAACCTTAATCACGCAGCTGAAGCGCCCTCTATCGTACAAATAGAAGATATATCAAATTATATATAGGCCTATATTTTTTTTATTTATTTATTTATTTTCATATTTTTCGTTTTCGGTAATACTACAAATAATATGTAAATAAATTTTAAACGTTAAAGGGGAGGGGGTCTGCGATTGTGAAAAAAAAGGTACCCAACCGTGATTCGAACACAGGACATTCTCTTTGAGTAACCCTCGTGGTATAACATTTGGATTTGATGAAATTCATTTGCCATTTCTTTTCTGCTAGAAGCTTTATTATTATCTGTCGGCGGATAACTTTATCTCCCTATAAAATGATGGACGTCTATTCAAGTATTACGTTTTGCTGGCCTTTAGTTGTAAAGGTCTTAGCTGAGGATAAGATGTTGTTTCTATTAATCATGCTTTAAATTATCGAAGGCCTTACTGAAGTTTTATGATGTTCATTCATCCTGGCTTTTCGAATCCACAATTGTTAATCGGAATACGAACTGCTCCGATCACTGAGTAGAATTACTGTTTCAATTATCTTTTAAATCGCAAAATAAAAGCATCGTCAACTGCACTGAAATAAAGACAACTTATTCAATCACTGGTTTAGTTGATAATTTCCCAACAATTCTACTAGACGAAAATATAAACCAAGATCAACGGTATCAATTTTACGGTTGCTATAACAATAACGAGTGAACAATTAGAGTCACACTTATCCATGTTTCTAAACAAAGACAACCAAAACAGCTGATTAACTAAAAGAACAATACGGTACGACATGAAAGTGAATCCAATGAGGAATCCTGATCAGTGGGAAAGGTTTACAACTCCAAGTAACTATCAAGCCACCGAACCAAGAGTGACTTAAGGTGTGCTGACAAAAAAAATAGCTGTATGCTAATGGAACAGTCACGGTTAATGAAACAACTTATGATGTCTCTGATTTCAAGGCTCTTGTTATTTAAAAAAATGATATTCATGGAATACCACAAAGTGTACGAGCTATTTCATGGATCAAAACGTTTGCGGTTATGGATTCTGACCTTATGAGTCATATAGCAAAAGATGCTCAGAATAGTACTAGTTTCATTCACTTAAGAAACGACATAGGTTCTCTTATGTGTTAAAAATGATAAACCCAACCCCAAGATAAAACTAACTGACAATTCAAGATTCATGGGATTCTTTATAAACATAAAATTTCAACTTTTTCATGTAGGTCTATCTTATAATTGCGCATTCTATTAAAAAAAACCCAAGTTATTAAAAAGTGAAAATCAACCGAAACCATACTGTAATAGGTTTGGAAAAGAAGTGCATGCAAAAATTCAGTGTCAACATCTTACTGTATTTCATGGATGTGGTATTGAAGGTAAAATAAGATCCCAGTGTCCGAGGAAAAAGAAATAAAACTTAACCATCGAGGAACCAAGGTGTTTCACTTGAGGTAGAACTAAAAATATCATAAATGAGACAGATCAAAGACCTTTGATCCTCTACAAATGCTGAAAGAAAGCCTCGGCAAAGCTTTCACATTAGCAATATTTTTCCCCTGATACAGAGGAACGCGTCGCTATAGTGTTGGAAAAAGCCCTCTCAAAAGACATCAAAGTAGCTTCCAACCCCCAAAAAAGGATGAAAAGCAAAAAATCTGGTAAAAAGGAAAACAAGAAAATACCGCTAAGAATAATACACAAATATCTGGATTTGGGACGATATTCAGACTCAAGCACAAACGGCTGAGAAATAAATATTCTGATAATCATGGGGAGGCGTACCAAACGCTTCAACGAATGATTGTGGTATTTATCTT